AAGAAGAAGAAGAAGAAGAAGAAGAAGAAGAAGAAGAAGAAGAAGACGGAGGAGGAGAAGGCGAAAAATGAATGTTGCTGTCAGAGTTTTTTTTTTTTTAACTGGTAAAAGAGAACAGACAGGAGAACGTTGGCACGTTGGCTACAAGGGGGGATACAGTTTAATCTAAGATATACGTACAAACGTAACAAAGATAACAGCTTATAGAATGTTTACTACTAGACGGCGTCTGTGGTTTGGGCAATACAAATCTGCTTTGCTATTCCCAGATACCAGTTTGAATTCTAGCTGCAGGCAATGTGGCATCAGACCGCTTTGCGTTGATTTCGACAGTGGTGTTGAGAGCTCGCCTTCACTGTAAAGACAGCACAGATTTGTGTTTGTATGTACGTTATATGCATTTTACATAGGTTTAAAGCTTTCGGTTAAAATGGGTTTCCTATATATAAAAATGTGTGCACATATATGTATGTAAGTACATATGTGTGTGCACATATATGTATGAATATATATATATATATATATATATATATATATATATATATATATATATATATATATATATATATACACATACACTACGTACATGCATACATGCACATTCAATTTATCACACTCTACTCTGAATATATCCAGGAATTATATGGTCCGATGTTATCATACACAATACTCTAGAAAGAGTTTTAATACTAAAATTCATATTTCATTGCATTTATTATATTTTATTATTTTTACATATGTGAAATATTTCATTATTTTTATTATTATAATTTGGTTACTTTTACCTATGATTGTTGTTACTGTTATTCTCCCTCTGTGTTTTGTCTCCGTGTTTTGTGGCGAGTCCACATTTAACACCGTTTTAACCGACTGTCATTTGTGGTTGGCAAAACTCAATAAACAACTTTTTACACAAAGTCTGAATTCTCCAGTGTGTGGTGACTTGTCTTTTAAATCAGTGTTGTTCCTAGAATGTATTGATGTTCTCTTAGGGAGGAGGTTAGCAGGTTGTTTTGTAGCTTACAGCTAGGCTGCGATATCTGCACATTTCATCCCAACACATGTAATTTAAGCAAATCCTTAGGTGGCTGTTGTTGGTGCTTTGCCTGAAAGAAAAATCGTCACGTTCAACCAACGTAGCCGAAGGGGGAGCTTTAGGTTATAACTGTGTCTAGGTTATGTGTGCTTTTAAAAAAATGACTTAGTACTGCACGCTACTAAAAGTCCTGAAAAGAACGTTTGCAGTGTTGATGCGATGACAGGAGACAAACCCAAATACGAAGTCGACTGGCCGATGAGCATTCCGAGCTCTTGAGGTTCATTGCTGCAGATATCACCCGCCTCTATTCATCCATCTTGTTGGCCCTCTCTTTCCAGTTGGTAACACCAAGTGTTTGCGGGTCTGTCTGGATATTATCTCTCCATCGTCTTCTTGGTCTGCCTCGTGGTCTACGACCATTCAGCTCCCGTGTGGGGACAGTTTTTACTTCTCTGTTATCTCACATTCTTTCAATATCCCACAACCATTTCATTCTGTTAACTCTCATGATGCCAGTGATTAGTGATGATTTAAACAGATTATGAATTTCATTTTTGCTTCTCACTCTCCATTCTCAGCTACTTGCATCGCTGATGGGTCCAAAGATTCGTCGTAATACTCTTGTTTGCGAAAATGTGTGTATATATATATATATATATATATATATATATATATATATATATATATATATATATATATATATAAAAGGGTTTATCTCGTTTTTTTTTTTTTTTTTTTTTGCTTCAAGTTCCAAAGCCACATAAAACAACTGGTCTATCGAAATTTTACATAAACTAATCTTGGTGTTGCGAGATAGAGTAGAGACTTTGTCTTTAGCAAATGTGTTTAGATTTTTTGGGGTAAATGTTAAACTTACGAGATCACATTATGCTATGGAGAGAATCAAGGGGTGGGATCTGCTGAAGGGTGTAGAGACATGAAACTTTGCATGCTTCGGATATGAAATGGTCTTACTGTTTGTACGAAATAGAGAAGTGAAAGAAAACTACACGAATTCTGTAAAACAGAGGGCAAGGACGGTGCGCACTGCACACGGCGAATTGTAAAACTAGTCGCGGAAAAAGAAATTATTCTGAACATTTCATAAAATGTGTACTCTCTTCTATGGTGAGCTGCAAAATAGGAAACGTTGCCAAGGCGGGCAAATCAAACGCTTTAAGGACACCTTGAAGTATTCACTCAAAGCATTTGGGATGAATGACACCAATTGAGAGGCTGCCTCTCAAGACTGAAATGCATGGCGTGCAGCTCTACACAAGGGCGCGACTACATGTGAAGCAAACAGAACTGCAAGACTAATTAAGAAAAGAATGGACAGAAAGGCGACTGCAGGAGATCCCCTCCCTGGCACAACGCGCATTCCCTGTCCTCACTGTCCAAGAACTTTTCGGGCCCGCATCGGCCTCTTCAGTCATCTTTGTACTCATGCTTGATGAAAAA